TTCGAACCCAAAAAAGTTCGAAAAATCGCAGAAAAGCACCAAAATTTCTTTGTTACGTTGGTTGAGTTCTTATGTTAATCCTTATTCATTGGTAAATTCTTTTTTTTGCCCCCGAGACCGGAAAAGTTCAAAAAAATCGGTTATCTTACCAAAATTTTCAATTTTTTTACAATTCCCAATATTCGAACCCAAAAAAGTTCGAAAAATCGCAGAAAAGCACCAAAATTTCTTTGTTGCGTTGAGTTCCTATGTTAATCCTCTATTCATTGGTATATTCATATTTTTGCCCCCAAGACCGGAAAAGTTCAAAAAAATCGGTTATCTTACCAAAATTTTGAATTTTTTTACAATTCCCAATATTCGAACTCAAAAAAGTTCGAAAAATCGCAGGAAAGCACCAAAATTTCTTTGTTGCATTGAGTTCTCATGTTAGTCCTCTATTCATTGGTAAATTCTTTTTTTTGCCCCCGAGACCGGAAAAGTTCAAAAAAATTGGTTATCTTACCAAAATTTTGAATTTTTTTTACAATTCCCAATATTCAAACCCAAAAAAGTTTGAAAAATCGCAGGAAAGCACCAAAATTTCTTTGTTTGCGTTGAGTTCTCGTGTCAGTCTTCTATTCATTCGTCAATTAATATTTTTGCCCCCAAGACCGGAAAAGTTCAAAAAAATTGGTTATCTTATCAAAATTTTCAATTTTTTTACAATTTCCAATATTCGGACACAAAAAAGTTCGAAAAATCGCAGGAAAGCACCAAAATTTCGTTGTTGCATTGAGTTCTCATGTTAGTCCTCTATTCATTGGTAAATTCTTTTTTTTGCCCCCGAGACCGGAAAAGTTCAAAAAAATCGGTTATCTTACCAAAATTTTCAATTTTTTTACAATTCCCAAAATTCGAACCCAAAAAAGTTCTGAACAACAAGTTCTGATCAATTACCGTATATGGCCTACAGTGTACAGGTAAGATGCTGGCTGACTGCTAACCGGTACTGGTAGCTCAGTACGTAAGTACGATACTGGTACTGGTGCCTGTACCGGTGTCTTACCACAATGAAATTACCGTAACTTATTCTTTCACGGTCCTACCAGTGCAGTAATGCAAGCGTTGTAGCACTTAGCCTACAGCCTACTGTAGTACTGTTGTAGCCTACTATATTTGTTTATTTTGATGAGAGTCTACTGGAAACAACATAAAATTTGAAATGGAAGAATTGTTCTGTGATCAATTATCTGTCCTAAAGTGTAAACAACATAAAATTTGCAAGGGAACAACTGTTCTGTGATCAATTACCGTACCGTATATGGCCTACAGTGTACAGGTAAGATGCTGCCTGACTGCTAACTCGGTACCGCTTGACACGTTTTTAAAAAGTCGCTTTTCTCTTCGAATACTGGACCAATTGCTTTGAAATTTTTAGTGGTTAAAGATAAAAATTTTCTCCAGAAGGCTATTACTTCTTTTTTCGCTATGACGTCATCAAAATTATGTGACTCTACGTGTCCATATATTTGAGCATAGCTCTCTTGTTGTTCTTGTTGGACACGTAGTGGACATAACGATCGTTTCAATATTATGTTGTTGTTGTTCTTGTTGTTGTTCTTGTTCTTGTTCTTTGACACGTTTTTAAAAAGTCGCTTTTCTCTTTGATTACTGGACTAATTGCTTTGAAATTTTCAGTGGTTGAAGATGAAATTTTTCTCCAGAAGGCTATTACTTTTATTTATTTCAAATATTCCTGTTAGCTCTGTAAGATTTGTTTTTGTTTGCTATGACGTCACTAAACGTTCTGCGGATATCGGACGCCATTTTGTGTCCAACGGACCATCTTGCAATTTCAATTCACGCTGTCACAAGACAGGAGTTCTGGTACCGTAACACAGCGCGGTGACACTGAACTAACTCGTAGCTGTCAAAAGCTTGAAAATCCATACAAGTATGAGAAATAAAAAGATGAAACTTGGCAGGTGGGTAGAGTTGTGTTTCTTTTAACCATATTTGAAAGTTTCGCGTTTCTACATTTGAAGGAGGGGGAATAGGGGGTGTGCATTTCCGATACGTCGATAATATCTTTGTCAACCAATTTGCGGCCACCGTGTTTTCGTCTGTTTGATTGCTGTGATGTGGTGCTTTGTTTATAATTTAACGAGTTTTGTTCGAAATAACCGTGTTCTTGAAATATATGACGGTCAGAAATGCAATTAGAAGCCCAATGTTTTCACGCTGTCACAAGACCAACAATTGTCAACCAATTTGCGACCACCGTGTTTTGTCTGTTTGATTGCTGTATGGCTGCGTATGCGATAGTCTCGACGCAGCATAAACGATGATCAAGGCTTGAAATCCGTGGTCGCACACTGGTCGTTCGGTCGCAAATACGTCTTTCGAGTGCCGTACTTTGGGGATTTGTATAGCTTCAACCCTTTGTCGTAGAAAGTTAATACGAGGTTTAGCGTGTAGAATAAATGCCGCCAATGCACCCACGGTGAAAAAATTAACGGGTTAGATATATTGGTTTTTGTTTTATAGCGGTTTGAATGAAATTGTCCGCAGACTGGCTACACCACCCTAGGCCTGGTGAGTTGTCCGTGTAGTCGAATTGTACATCAGCCCTAAACGGCTATGACAGTCACTGTACCAAAAATTGTACCCCGATTCGGCTGGTGTTAAGTTGACGCATGTTATTTAGTAACGTTTTTATGTGAAATGTTTGACTGTGGTTCGGTACCTGATCCGATAATACGGTACATAATTGACTCATATCACGAGATATTTCAACTGATGTTTCAATTGTCACAGGACCTAAAATATCTATGACAGTCCCTGTACCGTCACGGTACCCCGATACAGGTACTGGTAAGTCACCGCCGGTATGTTAGTCGTTGGTCACCGCATATGATTTTTGGGGAATTGTTCTGCGTGTCCATATATTTGAGCATTGCTCTCTTGTTGGACACGTAGTGGACATAACGATCGTTTCAATATTATGTTGTTGTTGTTCTTGTTATCCTTGTTGTTGTTCTTGTTCTTTGACACGTTTTTAAAAAGTCGCTTTTCTCTTCGAATACTGGACCAATTGCTTTGAAATTTTCAGTGGTTGAAGATAAAATTTTTCTCCAGAAGGCTATTACTTTTTTTTTCGCTATGACGTCATCAAAATTATTGCCATTGGGTGGCGCTACGTGTCCATATATTTGAGCATAGCTCTCTTGTTCTTGTTCTTGTTCTTTGACACGTTTTTAAAAAGTCGCTTTTCTCTTCGAATACTGGACCAATTGCTTTGAAATTTTCAGTGGTTAAAGATTAATTTTTTCGCTAGAAGGCTATTACTTTTGTTTATTCTTAAATTTTATATGAATCCTATGAGATATGATATTTCATACAAAATTTCGCGGTATTTATTTTTACTCATGGGAACACTGTTTTACACTTATTTCAAGCGGTTTCGCGATCGATTGTCTTGCTCAGTACTACAGCTACTGTAGGTCGGTACTGGTAAGTTGCCATACAGGTACCGTAACGCAGTGAAATTGACTTATTCCTTCCGCAGTATTACTAATGCTGCAATGCAAGTTTTATAGCCTATCGTATGCGGAACGGAATATCAGACCTACAGGTTCGGTACCGGTACTGGTAGCTCAGTACGTAAGTACGATACTGGTACTGGTGCCGGCACCGGTGTCTTACCACAATGAAATTACCGTAACTTATTTTTTCACGGTCCTACCAGTGCAGTAATGCAAGCGTTGTAGCACTTGTAGCCTACTATATTTGTTTATTTTGATGAGAGTCTACTGGAAACAACATAAAATTTGAAAGGGAAGAATTGTTCTGTGATCAAATACCGGTATCTGTCCTAAAGTGTAAACAACATAAAATTTGCAAGGGAACAACTGTTCTGTGATCAATTACGGTACCGTATATGGCCTACAGTGTACAGGTAAGATGCTGGCTGACTGCTAACCGGTACTGGTAGCTCAGTACGTAAGTACGATACTGGTACTGGTGCCGGTACCGGTGTCCTACCACAATGAAATTACCGTACCTTATTCTTTCACGGTCCTACCAGTGCAGTAATGCAAGCGTTGTAGCACTTGTAGCCTACTATATTTGTTTATTTTGATGAGAGTCTACTGGAAACAACATAAAATTTGAAAGGGAAGAATTGTTCTGTGATCAATTATCTGTCCTAAAATGTAAACAACATAAAATTTGCAAGGGAACAACTGTTCTGTGATCAATTACCGAATATGGCCTACAGTGTACAGGTAAGATGCTGCCTGACTGCTAACTCAGTACCGCTTGACACGTTTTTAAAAAGTCGCTTTTCTCTTCGAATACTGGACCAATTGCTTTGAAATTTTTAGTGGTTAAAGATAAAAATTTTCTCCAGAAGGCTATTACTTTTTTTTTCGCTATGACGTCTTCAAAATTATGTGACTCTACGTGTCCATATATTTGAGCATAGCTCTCTTGTTTTGATAATACTGGAATACTGTAATATGTAAGCTCAATTTTGGCATTAATAGTAAATTGCGTGTGGATAGATTGTCTCTTTTCTCATATAGGCCTATTACGGCACAGCATTAACAATTCATTGTCTGATTGTGGGCATAAAACTGTACCACATAAACATTGATGGCCTCTTTCACCATTTCAGTCTTGTTCATATGCTACCGTATCTCAATTGATTTCAGTCTGCCAGTCGTTAATTTCTGAATTTGATTTCATTTACCATATCTGCATATTGCAGTATTGACTTGACTGCTTTAACTTTAAGTTTCCGAGACCGAGTTGCCTATGGGCCATGGCTATGGGAGTATGGCGGTGGCTCAATATATTTCAGTATTTGGGCCTGGCCCAATACTGCAATCAGGCAATAGACTGAGGTTAATTATTTTGATTTCCAAAAGAACAGAAAGAATGTCAGAATGCGTGTGTGTCCTTGCTTAAAAATTCAATTAATTAATATTCGAAACTTGGTTATATCAACAGCACAGGTACGGTAGTCTGATAATATAATAAGATATCATAAAACATCCTGGTTTTCTAGTATTGGAGGAATGTGAATCTATAATTTCATGTGATTTGTGATCCAGTAATTCAATATTAAAGGAAAGACTGAAAGATGTCGTCTATGCAACCGAAAATTCCTGATATGAGCGTGTTGAAGGATTATGCTCAAGAACAGCTCACAGTCTTGCTTGAAAACTTCTATGGAAAAAAGGACTTGGTCATAGATCCAGATCTTATGACACCTCTTGATCGGCTGACTGGCTTAACTTTTCTAAAGCAACGAGGAGTAGATAAAATATTCAAATTGGAGCATAAGGAAATACTTGGAGGATGTGATCAACGAGTTTATATTGTACGTCCCGAAATAAACAATATGAAGCATATTGCTGCACATGTACTATCGGACAAACGATCAGGTGAAAATTTCTTTATTATTACCTGTTATGACAATATAAGTTCAGATTCCCGTGAAACCTGACAGACAATAGCTGCAGATCCACATCATGACATAGTGATTCATGAAAGCACCTACTACTGTACTGATTTGCACATCAAAATTTTCAAATTATTATTAAACATCAAATTATTATTTAATTTTCTTTGATATTTTTCAGAAAAACTTCGAAAATATAGAGTTTTGATGGTTCCAAGACGTTTGTCTATTTGTGAAATGGTGCTAGAACAAGAAGGTGTTATAGGATTTTTAACAATAGAAGATCTACATATTGATTTAATCCCTGTAGATGTTGATATTGTGTCACTGGAATTACCTCAACTCTTAAACTCATTTTTTATGGTAATTTATTTAAAACTAAAGTTATTGAGCCTATATGAATAAATCCCACTCGAAAGGGCACTCAATTCATTGGCGGCCCTATGTAAGGGCATACACCAATTAGGGATGGAGATTAACACAAAACTAATCAAGCCCCTACCATTCTTTCATTTTATTTCACTTATGATGCATATGAAAGTATCGTTTATTTTTTATTGCATAGTTCCATGCAATTTGTTCTCTGATCATATGGGATTCGGTTTAAAGCAACTATTAACCTACACAATGCAAATTAGCTTATGTCACATTTCAAGGTTTTAAGAAAATCATATTTTTGTAATAATTTAGTTCTAACAGGCAGACCTAAATATGGAGAGGAGGCACCCCCTAATTCGAAACTAAGAGCTAAAAGATGGCTGCCAGTTTTCTATTTTGTAATTCAGGATGGAGATCAGACATGGTTGCACACAGTTGCACGATCTATTGTAAACTTGCAAGCGATTTTTGGTTCTATTCCAAACATTTATGGTCAAGGAAATTCTGCTTCGATGGTTGATGATCTTGTTAAAACACTGACAGTTGAATTGGAAGAAAAACGAACTTCATTGGAGACCAATATTGGACATCTTGTATTGATAGATAGAGATGTCGACTATGTTACACCACTTTGTTCACAGGTACATACATTTGTTGAAAGAATGTGGTTGAAGCAGATGTTTTCTTTATGATCTTGTCTAAAATTGCCTAAATTTTAGGTCTTCACCAACATGCTTACTAGATATATTCAGCTTACTAGATATGTAGGTCTCTTCAATTATCGATATGCTGAAGTTGTAACATGATCACAATCAACCTCTTGAATTTAAAAATGTATGAATGCAAAAAATTACCCCCCTGGAAAACATTTGAAGATTGATTCTTAATTAAGCGATGAAAGCAACATGCCAACATTTGCATGCTGATGACCACTGGATATGTTCAATAAACCTGAAAGTGAAATGCCACAGTGCTGCCATATACTTTGCAATGTAATGTTCATGTCAATTTATTGTGTAGGTCACATATGAAGGCTTATTGGATGACATATTTGAAATCAAATGTGGAGTGATAGAATTTGGAGAAGAGGTGACTGGGTCAGAGAAGAGTGTTAAAACTGTGTTAAATTCTAGTGATGAGATTTTTCAAGAAATAAGAGATAGGTAATATGTAGTTTAAAATACAAAATAACCCACAAAATATTTTATACTCAGCTATAAATCTGACGTATTTCATAATATTATTTCTTTTCAGACATTTCACTAATGTGTTTCAATTTTTGAGTGTGAAAGCAAAAGAGGTTCAAGCTGGATATGACAAGAGACATGACATGAGAGAATTGAGCAATTTGAAGGTACTTTTTGTTTTATATTTTGTTTTGATCCATTATTCATGAAAGAGTGACTCTTCATCATGACACATATGGTAAGATGGAGAGGCATTATTATTTAGCAATTTTACGAAGGTCCAACTGAAAAACTTGACGTTTTTGGCATTCAAGAGTATTCATATCCATGCATTTATTGTTTTTATTGTTATTGATGGTGTGTTTCTGTTGCGCCAACTTCCTCAAACTCATCTTTATAAGCATTCCTGGGTCATCCTTACCCATTGAACATGTAAATATATTTATTATGGGGATTTTTCCATAACTAAATTTTGTCAATTTTCTAACTTCATGCAGAAATTTGTCCAAGAAGATCTGAAGGGATTAAAGCAGGTGCATAGATCAATAACATTACACATAGGTGCTAGTGAGGTGATTCTGAAAAGCAAAACGAAAGGTTCACTCAAGAAAGGGGATCTACAAGATGTTCTTAGGATTGAGCATCGTAAGTGATAAATACTTTGAAGTGCATATTTTAGCGACTCTCATCTTATTTCGCTTGTTTTGAATATTTCCTATGTCATGTATTGAGCTGGTGATGGCATAATCATAATGTATGGACTTCTGTATCAATTTGAAGTAAACTTATATATCTTGGCTTATATTATCTTGGCATAATCTCCATCTGGGTACAATACATCATCAGTGCAATAGAAAATGTTAATGATTCTCAATAATTCTAGTTTTTAACAATCAAGTTGTATAATAGATTAAGTTAACCAATTGTACCTGTATTTTATGATTTCAGACCTACTAGAAGGAGTTGAGTCAAGAGAGTGCATGTCTTATGTGGAGGAATGCATTCATCGACAGTATGACATATTGTTAACATTAAGGTTGATTTGCTTACTCTCATGCACATCTAGTGGTTTATTACCTAAGGATCTACAAAACATTCGACACCAATTTCTCCAGAGTTATGGCTATGAATATATGTTGACTTTATTTAATTTGAAGAAGGTAAGAAGCTTTTCAAATTTGTGTTAAAATCTAATTGATTCTTGTATGACTTAAATGTATTCACTGCATTCTAGTAAAAGAAATTCAGATTACAAAGGAATTGTTTAGCTATGTGGCATTTAACATGACTTCATTATGTAGACATATTGCCAATCACATTGAGAAAAGCCTGATATGAGTTTTAAAGTATCAGTGAGAACAAGAAAATTTACCTATTAGCGTTTCTTGCCTACTTGTCATCAACATCCCACCAAATTTTGGTTTTACAGGCAGGCTTGTTAACAGAGGCACAAAAAGAAGGGCAGTCAACAACTTCCATTGAAGCAAACCTCAATAAATATGCTGAAAAGGCAGTGATGGGTCCCGCTGTATCATACGTTGCTAGCTCATTAGCTTCTTTACAGAAGCGAGACTGGTTTAGAACCGTCAGTAAGAAGTTAAGTCTCATTCCAAAAAATACTGCGGGACAATATAACTTGAAAAACCCAGAAGATATGGCCTATGTTTTTGGTGGTGCGTACGTTCCATTGACATGCAGGTGAGTGGTGGTTTCTGTGACGGAGATGGATAACGATAAGGACAAAATATGTTTGATTTAAGCAGGTGTATATTTGGGATATTGACATGTTGGCAGTTTTCAAATAAAACAAGTGAAGTAAATAATATTTGATAATAATAGATTAATATTTGAGTTTTTTGTAATTTTGTTAAGCTTCGATTTTAAAAATACAGCAAATATTTGACAAATTGCATTTGAACAGTTACATTATCTAATCCAAATTACTGAATTGATTGTTGGACCTGTTCTTTGAGCTGTTGTATCAAAATCTCCACCTTCTAATATCAGTATAACATGATTTGAGCCAGGGGTGCACAACTCAAATGAGCATACATGCTAAAATTGTCAGAATAATCTTTTCTTGTGCCATGTCACGTTTGAAATTTTTAAATAATTGTTGGTATTGTAAACATAATAATGAATACCTATTTACTGAAATATTTTAATGTCATGAAAAACTGCTGTTTTGATGACATTTGTGATGGGCCAAATTTGAAATGTCTGGATTCAAAAGAGATAGAGATGCAAACTACTGAATCTAAATGCTCTGCATGTTTGAATGAATTTGCTGATTTAAATTATTAAAACACCCAACAGGGTTTATTTCACTAGTCAGAATAATCATGTTTTACCTATACCTAACTAGTAACTGCTCGCTACTGTAGGTTGGCCTTATTTTTACCTACTACCTTTTGATAACACGGCCACAATCTAGCAATGTGTGAATAAACACAACGATTTAAGTTTTTTTGTTTTAACTTGAGTTAATATGATTTATTATAAATAGATACATTACTTTGTACCAAACCTTTGGCGTGCCACGTTTAATCTTATGGCGTGCCACATAGGGCATGCATGCCCCATGCTGAGCACCCCTGGTTTAGGCTATATATATACTTAATAGTTTAACTTGGTAACTCCATGTTCCTATCTCTGCCTCATCACATGCCTTCCGTTACGGTACAAGATCATGAATATATGATATCAAGATATACTATAACTCTAACTTACACAAATGCGATTTGTATTTGCTCACTAATAATTAATTGAATGATCATTATACCATACTATTGTTTTTAACTTGGGTCTGAATTATATTTTTTCTCATTATGACAGGCTCGTGGAGCAAGCATTGCAAAGACAAGGTTGGGGTGGACTAGAAGATGTAATGCGCCATTTACCAGGAAAGTGCTTTGAACGTTTAGAAGCTAAATCTGCGAAAGGCAAAGGTGCTGGGAGTGGGGGATTTGGAACAGACTCGTCATCAAAAGTGGTGTTGGTTTATTTTATTGGAGGTGTTACATACTCTGAAATAGCGGCATTAAGATTTTTGGGAAGGAAAAATGGATACAGATTTATTATTGCTACCACTGCAATTATCAATGGAACAAGGATGTTGAATTCTTTTATAGAACGACCTTCACATAACTAGTAATGTAGTATCCAAACGGTTGATATCATTGAATTGAAAGGACTCAACTGCTGGAATGTTTGTGCCGGAAGTTCGTTACCAAACTGCTTGGTAATCGACTACAAGGCACTGATGGAATGTCGAACAACCTGCCACATGATGTCAAAATCCTATTATTTGAGTTCCTTATCCTGCACTTCATCTGTGCTGGTTGTGTTTTAGAGCTCACAGACTGAATCAAATATGAATTCCAGTACTTGTGCAGATTATTCATGTTCTTTTAAATGACTTTTTATTTTGCTAATATATAATCATGATTAAGTGTAATAATCCATCGATCTGTTTTAAACTGCGAATATTTTCTACTCTGCTTGCAAATAAAACCTACTCAAAATCCGATTATACTTTGAAAAATTAACGTGGTTTGGTTGTGAAAATCGAACTACCATGGTTGGCCGGGAATAATTAACTACTTTGAATACATTCGAAATTATTGATCTCAATATTCTAAAATAAATCAAGCAATAGAAGCGTTTCTTAGTGTATGGAGGGATTCCATACAGTAAATAACGGAATAACTGTTATCTCCGACCTGGCTATTAGAATTCGACCAGCATTTCTTCAAATTTATTTTTAATTTTTGTTTTGATATTACTCATGAAACCTCTTCAAAAACTGTTGGAGAGTATGAAAAGAATAAATTGCAGTAGCTTAAGATAAAACCTGGAAGAATGTGTTTCAATTGCAAGTAACCCAAGTCTGCAAAATCGTCCTTAAACGCAAAACGCCATAAATTTTGTTTTAGCAGCACAGTGACAAATAAAAACGATATTTTAGACGTTGTAAATCGCCAAAATTTCGTGTTTTTTCGAATCATGATGGATGTAAGCTAACCAATGTTAGGTAGATTGAATCAATTTATTATTGTACTAAAATAGATAGTATTCATTGAGATTCTATTACGGATCTTGGTATTTTTTCACCGGCGATCATAACATCGCAAGAATACGAGTAGTAATAACTTTATTTTTTCATAGGTACGTAAATAAGTATCAAAAATTGATTATAATTGGGCAGTTTACCACAAATTTTATGTCCAGAGTAGTCCAGGAGTAATGCTTTAATTTACCGTGAGTTGTCTTGAACATAATTAAATTAATAAAGAGGCATTTTAAATGATGGCATCGGTCATGGATTTGAATATTTTTCGCAATAGAGAATCATCCCATGGGAAAGTCGATTCTTTTAATATTGTTATCAAAATTATTTGCGGGAAATGGAAAAAAATATGTTTCCTTATAAATCAACTTGTTTTTTCGGATTTGCGACGATTTATTGGGTATCATATGGTATGGGTATTATAATCACATGAACACAACTTATTTAATATCTGACCTTGGTTGCATCGTTTTCAAGAAATTTACTGAATTGTGTCAAACGCGCTTCATTTAAAAGTACATGATACTTATTTCATCAAATTTTGATTCCACTTTGGTTGGCGAAGTGCAGGACCGATGTAGTGGCACGGGATAGGCTGGAGTGGATTCTTTCTAAATGAGAGGGCGTTTGATTATTGATTGGGGCTTTACACAATTCTCAATTTTTCAACGTAACTGGAAATAAATACGTAAATTAGGTGGAAGCCTTGCACGGAACTGTCGGCGATGTCCACGACGCAACCGTGCAAATATGTCGCAACAATATGTGTCGCACAGAAAAATAGAACGAAGAGAACTGTTCTATTTAATCGTCGTTACAATTACAATATATACTTGACAAAGTGCAGAAAATCGTTTGAAGGTTTTCCTCGAAAACAAAACACCTCGATGTCGGCGAAAGGTGGCCATTTTTCTAAAATTAGCTGAAAAAATTATTCGAATACTCTGATATTCTATTAGTTTTGGACAATCCTGTCAACTACACTTAAACTAAAAAGAGGCTGAACACCGGATGGCAGCTTTGGAGTAGAGATGTATCGGGTATCGGCCAATTGTTCGATATCGGTATTGTATCTGTATCGGCTAAATGTATACTGATATGTTTATCTTTTAATAAGATACAGAATGTTTTAAAAGTCAGAAAACCGGTGTTAAAATTTTATTTTGCATGGAGAGATCGTGAACTATGAGCCATGCACGTCCTACCCCGGCGAGTAGAAACGGGAATAGGATTCTGACCTGTTTTATCTATTTATCAGTCAAACTAGCTCGAATAATATGGCTATTTTAGTTGTTAAAGTTTTATATTGACATTTTTAATATTACATGGTAATTTTGAAGAAATATATCAATCGAATGTTAGTGGATTTTCCAGTGCGTAAAATACAAAATACGACATTCTATTGGCAAAAAATCCTGCGTACCTTACTCAATGTATCAGTTTGATAGGAATAATAGGCTAAATATATATTTATATTACTACTCATGGTAGCTAACTCTAAGAGTTTTCTAAATGAACACGGAGATTACTAGCGTCAGTACACAATGCATCTGAATCCCAAACATCAATTTTTTATTTTGTGATATATCTCTTTTTCAACATTCAATTTGAAATGATGGGCACTATGAATGATGCTCATGGACTATTGTTTCAACCTGTCTGCCCTGCACACTTGAGGTAATAATTACATAGCATCGGAGTATCGTTTTCTTTAAATATCGGTATCAGCGTTTTTAGCTGGTATCGGTGACAAAAGTAGTATCGGTACATCTATACTTTGGACCATTAGTTGTGAACCCTAAGCAATAGTCGCATTCAGCCAGTGTATGCCGATTCGAATGAAATCCTGTGAACAGATGTATCATTTTATATTGACATGTAGTTGAATGAACCAAAGTAGCTTCTATGGTGATCATCGTTGAGAAAAATAAATTTTGAAAGCTATGCGTTCTACCATTTCGTGTTCCAGCATATTTAAAACTGGGAAATTCAGGGGGCTGTCCAAAATAAACTGCTTATTTCTAATCTCTTAGTATGTCCCCAACTATAACATCCAAGTTCTTAATCATGTCTTGTCCAATTCAGTGTATATTTTTCAAAAAAATGATTGTTTGCCTTGTTAAAAAAAAGTTAGTTGATATTAAACTGGCAGTGTCTCGAAAATTCATTATCAGATATTTATTAGTAAAATATCATTGGGTCCAATGTAAAGTATCAGACATGGCATTGGATTCAAGTCAGTTGATGTATCCATGCTGAATATATCTGTTTTTAGGCATATGTCAAACAGGTGGTGGCAACTTTTTTATATCTTTCAGGCATTCTTTATAACTGTCTTCATATGCAGAATCCTCCTTTACTAAAAGGCAACATGTTGGCCTTTTCGATCCTGTTGCTGAACCGAGATCAGCTTTTGCTGGCACATAGCAATATGGAATGTCCGTTTCTTCACAAAATATTGGCAGGTGACACATCACTTCAATTGGCCTGGTGTCTCCAGCAAACATCACAAACCCCCTCTCGCCTTTCTTCAAAAACTTTTGAACTTCTTTGACCCCTCTTCGCAATTTTTTTTCCTTAGATGCCTTTTTGACACATCTGAATAAGTAAAAACATATATTTCTGAGACTTACTCCCAACAAATGATCTTAAAATCACTTCTACCTACAACTGGTAATGCCAGGAATACCGTTTAAAATATAACTAAACGTAATACACGATTTTTTAAGAAGAAATCAAGTTTATTTCCACTTCATAATTAAGAGGATGGAATCTAGCCAATGTTATATTACGAATATACTGTAGGTGACATACACAACTGCCACCTAATAACTAAGACTGATAAGTCTTAGGTTGAGAACGAGGTATCAACCTTAAGTATTGAAACATAATACTCACTTGTACAATCTCCTTGTGAGCTTCCTTGAAGCAAGTGGTTTCGATATTGGATTCAAATGTACCAGAAGTTCATCGTAGGTCTTTTTATTCTCAGTAAGAAAGCTTGCATCAGCTGATTTGTCTGCGTCTGTATCTTCAGGGATTTCCTTTTTGACCTTACCCATTTTATTATTATAACCTGATCTACAAAATATTGAATAAATATATATGGTGTACAGAGGGAGACTTCAAACCATATTTAACAAAATGTTTTGAGCTTTTTTATTACTTTTATTAAAATGTGTCTCTAAAACTGTAGAATTTCTCCGGTTAACTATAGACAAGAGGTTTGATGAAGTCACTAATAGTATAAATTTCAGGTTGTATCACGAAAAAACTAAAACTCATTTTTTATATAGATAATCATTAGGTAGTGAATCCAAACAATACTTCAACAGAAATATATTTTCTGGCGTCGATACATTTAATATAAGGACCTCCTGAAGTATGCGCACCAAGATGGTGCACAACCTGAACTCAGATTGCGTACCAGGTTAGGGTTCAGGTTATGCGACATCTTGGTGCGCATACTTCAGGGATACCTAATATAACATATTAGAGATGGGTAACAAAATTATTGCGCAACACAAATAATCGAATAAGATAGAAATAAATTAGTTGTTTAGTCACTATAACAAAATAATGTTCATATAGTTTTTTTAATCACAATATCCCTGCCAGATATGGATGTATTACTGAACCTCATCATCTGACAAATTCTCCAAGATTAAATTGTGTATTTCAGAGTCTCTCGGTGTATCTGAAGAACTTTGCAATGTATCTGAACCTATCACACCTAATTCTTCCTCAATTATTTCTTTCAAGATCTGATTTTCCAACGTTTTCTCACCATCGTAATTTTCTTTCTGAATTTCAACCTGATCAGATTGTTCCATTATCTGAGACAAAACATTCAACGAACTTCCTTCTTTAGTCACTTCATTTTCATGTATATTATCATTCTCAATAAGAGCATTGCTTCTGGACTCCTTATCCTGATCTGCCAATTGATCTATTAATTGATTATCAAGTTCCATAGCTTGAAAAGACTCGATAAGCCCAAGCTCACTTCCACTTCTTGTATCTGAATTGAAAACCTCTATTGAAGCATGTAAAATATAATTGAAGTATGTTGTGGCAATTCTAAGAATACCGGTAATACATTTTGCTTTTGTCTTGTCTGGTACACATTATAAACAATATAAATAAACTGACCATTTATCATGGATGACAAAATTTTATTAACTGCATCTGTGATGTTTTTGTTCATTTCTGCTTCAAATGATTTTCTCATTTCTATTTTTTCTATCTCAAACTCTCGTTCCATAATCATTTTTGCTTTCCGTACTGTTTCAGATATCTTCTCATCATTTTCTAGCCTCAGACATTCTTCCTTTTCGCTCCATACCTTACCTAAACACAAAGAAAATGGGAATTACTACTCGTTTATTCACATTTCTGCATTTACTCATTTAAAAACACTGCTGCTAATTTGCAAGAATTTGATTATATGAATTCACTCTCATGTAGCATGCATTACTACCAAGTCTTGTAAAAGCATCTAGTACCCTATCAAAGACTGCTTACAGACTATATAACATTATCAGCTTGTCATGTTTTTTTGAACCACAGTGCTTGCTGGATTGACTGTAAAATTATGTTAACACTAGAATACCGAAACAAGGTTTCCTGAAAGTCAGAAGAAAGTTGTGAATAATCAACTGATTCCCATACCCATATCTGATCGAACAACCTCCTTGTAATTTCGCAATGCAGCTTGTAAAAGTGCACATTCGTTTCTTAGCCTTTTAATCCGATCTTGTAAAGTTTTTTCTAAAATGTTTAGAATTGATTTGTGATGTGACTTTAAAAGACAGACATAGTTTTCGTGTTTTCTTTCTAAATTACACACAGCAACATTATGTTCCTCTGACAACTTTCTTATTTCATTTTGATGGTCCAAATTTAAATTTTCTCTGGCAAGCACATGTTTATCACGTTCTTCTTTGAGATAAGCCGTTAGCATGGCAACTTGCTCTTTGAGTTGTTGTATTAAAATCTCCATCTTCTAATATAAGTACAGCAGTATGTCATAATTTAGGGCTTGAGCTACCGTATGTAGTCTATCACTTCAGCACTTACTGACTTAATACTTTAACCAGGTAACTTTGTGTGTCCCTATCTCAATGTCGGAATATATACCTAGATCATGAATGTACAGATGTATGATGGTATTACTGTATTAAGAATGATATGTATTGCCTATATCAGTGCTGTATATATTGTATACAATCACTAAATGCACCTTTCTGCCTTCAACTTACTGACTCAAGACTACACATTTTAGTACATACAGTACATATTTCACGCTATTCAGCTATTCCAGTATTCTAATGGAGTAATAAGGTTTTGTTTGCTCTCCTAATTCAGTAATTTCATATTCAGTTTTTATTGATTTGTGTTTATCAATATTTTATTGCCTGTTATGTTGATTACAGGATTATGGAGTCGAAATAAACATATACCGGTACTAATATCTGAATATGACATACCGGTACCGGTACAAACATATCCAGATATCAGTGTATCAATACTTTTGTCTTTACTTTCAGGCGCTATTAAATTATATATAGGGCCTACCATTTGAGTTTCTGCACGAACAGACTGTAGGACTGACAGACGTCTGTACGGTCAGACGGTACCGGTACAGCGGTACAGGTACGTAGCATACCGGTATTCATGCTGTCATGATAATACAGTAATGCTGTTGTATCATTGATACCGTATCTGATACAAAAAAAAATCGTCAAATCAAATCCACCTAAAATGGTTTTCCAATATCAAATTAGTTTCCATTATAATATCATCTATGAAGTTCTATGGAACTGCACCAAAACGAAGTTTGCTGGTCTAGCGGTCTAGGTATGGGAAATCAAATCTTTACAAGCGTCGCAACAAAACTCGACGAGCAGTAAAATCAATGGCAGTAATCCACATGGTCGTGACAATTCAATCAAGCGAAACGCAGGGTTAAATAACGCAATATTCATACCAGCAATCGACATCACCATGAGTTTGACATGGTTGTTAGCAACATTCTAGTTTCCATTACAAACTCGGCGATAGTGCAAACATGAGATTACAAAAAACCAACAAATTAATATCAGATTATGAACCTCGAAACGAGCGGCTATATGACGTCACCAATGCGTCCCGACACTTGACTTCGTAACCAGGCGACTAATGATGCTACCAAATGTCTGACGGATTTTGCCTAGAATATTGAAGTTGAATAGGAGATTATTATTTTCTTGAAGAAAGTTTGCTTTGGTAATTGTGTATTGTTAGGCTTAATATGGTACAAATCTTTTGTCTCCGACGTAACTACATGATTTCTCCGCCCGCATTTGTTATAATACGGTGCCGTGTATGTAGATCATATGTTGTAAACGATTTAAATTTAATTCTATTGTTCCAACATTTTGCTGTGAATTGCTTGTACCGTAAACCTAATTGACAGATCCCAGCGGCGAACGAGAATGAGTAGCACTTCATATTCTTAAGGACTCAATTATAGAATAGGCTTAGGGATTAGAGATTTTACGATAAAGACATTCAACTCTAAACCAAAAAACATTGTTGTTGAGATTTTTCGATTGTTTGCCTTCGGGAAATGTGTACACGGTCGTGATTAAATGTTATTTTTTGACATGGGATACGAGCTTGAATACGTTGGCAAACAAAAGATCTCTTTGTGACCGCCCTGATATGAGAACAATCGAATATATTTATACTCAGCACTGTCGTGGTATGCTTTGAGTTGAATCAGGAATCAAAAGAGTGTTATTAGTGGAAGGTACCATAGCTAACTTTGTAATCGTTAATAATAGTTCTCGATAATACAGTATATTTGCTTTACAAATATTCGTTTTTCTATTGTGTCGCGAAAAGTTACTGTGATAATCATTATTTAGTATATAAATAATATAATAATTGAGAGATAAAATGCGACCAAGAACTGCTCATTCAGACGTTACCAGTGGTGGAGTTCATTTACAGAGTGATGTATTGAATAAAAACAACGTATCAAGGCCGGGAAGTGGGAGCTTCGTTACTCGATCTAGGGTTTTTAAGTCTAACGAGACAGCTTACCATACCTGGTTACGCAGAAGTAACGACTTTAGCCCGGCATACAATTTAAAAAAGCACCCAAGAGATTATAAGAGCGTGCAAACTTTTAATTTGAGATCCGGTTGCCAAGTTACACGGTCCGCAAGCCAGCTGCAGGTTCGAATAGATCCCGACGAGTTTTTCGATCCCAAGATCCCGAAACCACTCGAACCTCAGATAAGTGCGAAGGAGATGGAAGTTTTAATCGAAAGTCTTCAGGAACAAGTTCGGTATCTTTCAGTTTATTTAGAAGAAGAGAAACTTCATCACGCTGGCACAAAAAAGCGTGCAAAATTGGACATCGAGCAAACTATGCTCGAAATGGAGAAGTCCAAACAGGTGGAACTACAGAGAATTTTAAATAATCAAGCAGAAATAATTCAGGATCTCAAAACTGAACACTCTCAACAACTGGAAGAGCTTGAAGAGGATTTGAAAGGTCAATACCAAAGATTAGAGAAAGAGTATAAAATGCTCCAGGCATCTTTTAAGAATTACCGCTCCAAAATTTCCGAGGAAATGGAGGGAAAATGGAACGATAGGAAAAAAGAGTTTGAATGGGATAAACAAAGAGCTGTGGATAATGCGGTTGACAATACAAGACGAGCAATGGAAGAACGTTTTAATAAAGAACGAATTTCGATTCGAAAGGAGTATAAAGAACTAATGCAACAAATGGTGGATGATCAACGTAAGGAAATGGAGGATTTTATGCGTAAGATGAGCGATGGAAAATCCAGCATCGAAGAATTAAAAGCTAAAGCAGACAAAGCAGAACAGCTCGAATATGACCTAAAAGACGTAAAAGACCAACTTCTCGCGGCAAAACGTGAGATTAAGTTATTGACACATGATTTGAATGAAACAAAAGCAAACTTGTCGGTTTATGAACAGAAGTTTGAAGAAAAGGTTGGAGAAGTTGAAGATAAATATAGAAAACGTATTGACGATTTAGTCAACGAAGTTTCAGATTTTCGCGTTCTATTGATAAAGAAAGCGGAAACTATGTATTTAGAACGTGCGGCTGCTGACGAATTACAGAAAAAATGGACGAATTTTGCAAAAGGGAAGCTGGAAAAACTTTTTCAAAAAACTGAAAAAGCAGCTGAAATTGAAAAGTCACGAAATGATTCATCATCACCGATTGGTGATGGAAGAAGAAAGAAAGCAAACAATAATCCAATCAGTAAAGTCTTTTTAGAAGATGTTGGTGGCGGCGGTGATGGGATAATTGTTAAAAATTTAAATAATAAAACAGAGAATAAAACAACTGAGATGAATATAATTCCTGAACCTGAGTCTAGAGAAATCACACCTCCTAGAAAAAGATCTGGCAAGTCATTTGGCTTACCTCCAAGAAAAAATACGAAAGAAAATACAACAGACTCAAAAACAGATAACATAAGTTTGACTATTGCAACTAGGGACAAAATTAAACCTCGCTGTCCCCTGACTACGGTTTCGCTGTTAGACACTGCCAACTTACCCTACGTCGACGATACAGCTGCCAATGACATGCCCTTACAAAATACTTCCCGGCCACATTCTCCTGATGTCATTTTTTAGGATTATAAGGTCGTTCATACAATACATAATGCATGCGCCGTAGAAAATAATGGCTGCCCCGAAATAATCAAACATGACTAAACTAATTAAACATGACTAAAATTGTTTAAGATACAGTGTGTGAGCGGAGTCAAAGTTTCGAGGTTCAGTTTATCTGAATCAATTATAAAATTGCATCCATACAAACTTTAACGTAGGTTTGGAATATAGACTACTATGCCACCAACACTGTACGAAATGAAGTATATAGGATTTTAAAATGGAGACTCTTTCCTTTCTAATATACATGGGTGTTCTATATCCAGTCTTTGGTAAATATTTATAAAAATTATTTATTTTATATATTATTGGTGTGATTATTTTATCTGCCTTCCCTATGACACACACTGTTTACATATTTGCTTATTGCTGTCTTGCATCACCCTCGTACTTTCGCTCTTTATACTTTCTAACACACAGGCTAATTGCTAGTCTGAATGAATATCAATGCGCAATTACTTACATACATAAATACTTTGATGTCTGCCCGGTGACACTATTCATCATCCACCGTCTCTGTTTAATAAGGTTTTGTTTTCAATTTCAAGTGATCATCACGCCTTATTGTAGGTAATTTGAATGTCTTCAATGTGCAGTATTTATATTTTTTTGAATAAAAATTTTTCTACCGATTAAGGGCCAAAATTTGTTATATTTTCTAAAATGGAAAAAATTATTAGTAACTAAGGTGACATTTTGCTTCACTGCTCAGGCTGTAAGCAGTGCTACACTAGTAGACGAGTTCATACCCAACTGTCAACGATTTCGATAGCAAGGGGGGCGACATAGAGTATCGTCTGACTCTGAATGAATGAACTCAAGTCAACAATTTTCAGATGATGTTAAAATTTATTTTCAATAGCACTTTTCATTTAAATTTGTCAATAGCAATGTCTTGTGCAATGATTGAAAGTAAATTGATACAGTTATAAGTAGAGTCGGACTCAAAATTGACCTCACGTTGATATCAGATTCGTTCGACCAAGTCAAGCTATATAGAAAACACGTAATTTCATAGTTTGTCAATATCAATACCTTAAAACTAGTCTCGTCGTACACGATGCGAGATATGCCTCTGCAAATAAAACATACTCGATGCCAACAGAAGCACAAATGAATGTTTGTCAACATCTTTTTATTCCCATGTGAAAATTGGTCACGGGGTGTACATATGGACCGTTTTGCAAAATTGTTATTGTTGCTGCTGTCGTTGTTCTTGTCAAAAAATCGCTCCTCTCACAATTGATGGGGCAAATGATTTCAAATTTATCTGTGTGACCCAATATTTTACCCAAAGTCTTGCTGTTTTATTTCAATTGATGGGAACGGTTTGATATTCGTTTACATAATATATTTGACCATTATTCTTTTATTTTCTTAACCGACACAACCTGTACTGTACTCACTCTGAATTATCGCTCTCAATAGAATAGTTTTGTTTATAATAGAGCATAATGTCTTACGCAATGTAATAAAATATCTGGTTATACAAATTTTTACGATTCAATTTTATAAAATGCAGTCTGAAAGTCAATGTTGTATGGCTGTCCATTTAATAGATTTCAGTCACGAACTAAACTCTCAGCTTTAATAAAATTGTGTAGTTGGTTTCACTAAATGCGAAATCAACATGCGTCATCAGCAAGTGCAGATGTTACAGACAAATTGAACAAATAATTCAATTAGAAAACGTGAAATAAGGAATTAATGTGACGAAGTTACTGAGAGAGGGTCCTCCATGCCACATTTTTAGTCGTGCATGGTTTTACTTATTTCTGACAATTACGAATATATATATTGAATTCGGATAAACTTAAATTTTGGATTGATACTTCACAATCTTTTTCATAAATGGCAAAAATGATGAATTAGCCGCCGAAATATGGTTGGTTGTAAAAGGGAATGCTTGCTGACGGCCAGATAACCGAACCAGACCCAAGAATAGCCATTGAATCGCAACATATTTAAACTGCTAATATAACAGATCAGAACCACATAAACCGATCTTAGTTTGCCACAAATACGTGTCTATATTTCACGGCGCTTTACCCAATCACCCACGACACCAAGTATTTCTCGCAGTATCCAAATTTGACCATACCTCTAAGTACATTGGGTTTCTCAAATTTTCTTTTCTCAAGAAAAGGCTCGAGAACGAAAAACATCAGGCTTGCGAAAAATGTCAACGAAGATAAAATAACTTTGGGTGAAGTATAGCTTTCTTAAATAAATATATTTGTCAATAATATCTTCCCAAAATAAACAAGCTTGATAAACATTGTCGGACACTTGGTAACCATAAAAATTGATTGCGCCTAAAGGCATCGTAGTATCACCTGATTTTAAGCAATTTATACTTCATTTAAAATTTCATCTCTCATTTTAGAAAAAGGCCTTTATTTTATTGCAGTACAAATATTGTTACGTACGTTTGGATTGAAGTGTATCCCGAGCAGTTGGCAAAGATCTAAATCAAAGAGACTAACTTGCCTAGTTAAGATGCAAAATTTAGGGGAGGACATTGAATACAAACAGAAAATAAGAAAACGTGACGTCATATTCACAAAAACGCGACACCAGAGAACAGTTCGAGGCGCGAAGAAAAAGTATACGGCCCAAAAATTTACTTTTCAGACATAGAGTTCCAGGTATGTCTAAGATGATCGCGACTACAATAAAACTGATATTGTACAACGGCGTATAGTTCCGTGTCGATATTAGAAGTAGTTGTAATTCGGTGAAATCAGCTATACTAAATGAAATACAAACCGTATAAGATAGGACAGACGTTGCGTAATACAATGTGTCATGTGATGGTATTATTTTTATAGACTATAGGGAATCTTAATTGTAATTGAAATTTACAACCGAACACAACATCGACAAGTTTAAAAACAAAGTTCGCTACATTATTGATAAAATGTAATGTGCGATGCTGCTCATGATACCTTTTTATTGTATCCATTTTGGAAAATAGCCAGGCTATGTCACTATACGTTAACAGATGAATCGTTGCAAGGAAATGAAGCATTTGGATATTTTTGAGAACGTTAGATTATCATTTGTCCTCATCTGTATTGACAGCTCAGTAACATTTCCACACGAGTTGCTTCAAACCGAAGATATAAATACCCTAAAGGAATAGGTAATCACGGTGCACATAGTTTTCTGGTTATCCAAATATAAAATATTCTCAACAAGAGACCATGAAATTAAAAATGCATATAGTCAAGGAATCAATATGAAGGCCTTAGTTCATACCAAATTACATTATGCACACTCGGGTGCGTTATACGGAATCCCGAGTCCCGCCAAATATTTTCGGCCGTGTTTAGGGTTGAGGTTGACCATTCTAAGTCATAAATTTTGAAAAACAAATCATACGTATACTGCTAATGATGATAAATATTTGTGTTTTCATTACTTTCAGTAATAAAATATTAAACAAATAAGAGCGTTAGTTGACAAATAAGATGTCAATAATAATTATGTTTACAAACAATTCTGCTCATCTGTAAAATTTCGCTTTTATTCGTGTCGGAGGTTCAGATTCCGGGACTTTTATGCAATTTTATAAAGACATGGTTAATTATACAAACAATACCAGCAGAAACGAATTAGAGAGTTACAACGCCACAATATCAACTGTGGATTACTGGCCGGAGTTCGGAGTGTTACAAGTAAGTATAAATTAAACTATAATATGCAGTCCAAGTTATTTCTGATTTACTATATTTTTTGAAAAAAAATTTGCATTTTCGAATACAGCTTCTATTTCTTAGAACTCATTGCTTGGAATTAAATGTGTGTGTGTGTAATTCAATGAAAAAATGTTTTTCCTTTTCGAAACAAGTTCTTCACAAAGTAAATTAAAAAAAATAATATGTCCAAGCCCCCTCTACTAATCAAAGGAACAAATTTGATTAAACAAAACAAAAAATCAGCAGTATATTTAATAATGTGTGCCAATGGCCCAAATAAATAAAACCAATGCTGTTTTATAAATATTATTATTGTGTCTATATCCATTCTAGTTATACAATCCTTCAAAACTATTTTCCAGTACTTTGAGTTCTCATATATTTTGCTGATAATTATTTTGGGATTGTTTGGAAATATTATTGTGATATCCTCCATCGTACTAGAGAAAAAAATTCACACGAGCGGAAATATTTTCATTATAAACTTGGCAGTTGCGGATCTTTTGGTGAGTATCAATAAGTTTTATTAGATGTATTGATAACTGGATTTGATCAAAAGAAACTTTTTCAATTTTACTCATTTTTGTAACATATGATACAATTGCCCAATTGATTATTCTGCAGCGGAATATTTGCGTTTTACATAGAGAATGAATAATAAAATAGTAATAAATTTATAAACTAAAACTAGAAGTCGACATTTTAACGTATTAAGCGAATCTATTTAAATTCACTAGAATGTCAATATTGTTTATTTTTGGTTGCGACTGGTGCTCCAAAATGGAAATAGGTAGAATTGTTCCAAGTGTGTGCTGTGAAGAAGTGTAAAGACACAGCATTATTTTCTGTTTCATCGTATTTTTCGTAGTCTTAATTAATCAATATTATTTCTGGCAGGTGTGTTCAATAACTCTACCATCAGTAGCCGTGAACATTATTATCAAATCTAATGCACTCAGTCCTTTCTTATGCGATATCGTTGGATATATTGTTACGGCAACGTGCGCTTGTTCTGTGTGTAATTTATGTCTCATTGCAGTGAATAGGTAAGATGTGAATGTGGATACTTTAATAATTTATAACCTAGACGGAAATAAATCAGAATAGCATGGTCTTTTCTAAATTTTCTTCATTATAAAGCTTTCACATTTTTGATGGTGTGTGCTTTCCGGGCCTGAAACGCTGGTCGATTATAGCTTGCTCAATCATGAAGTCCATGCATCTCGAAACAAACAAAAAAAAGTGGCTGACTAATTCCATACCCGATATGGACTGGCAACCGGGGCGGCCATGGTTCGCCATATGATTTTCTTGCGTAATTGTGTAAAAAGAATAACGTCCTCTGCCATGGAATAGTTTTATGAGTTTGTCTTGCATAATGTGCAGATGGAAAACATTCTAGCAGCTAGCTATTAACAAACCATTATATTCAGTTGGTAAAAGATGAAATTATGACGAACACGCCTAGACTTTATTACGATTTACCAATCAAAAATCGTTTTCAGTCAGGTCATAGATATATTTGCTTTCGTTTGTTTTATTACATTTATTACCGATAACATAATCGCCTGTAGTAACATATTACGTAACTCGAAAATTGAAATCTATGTTATACAACGTGCAATAAATTTTCGCACGTCAAAAATGCGCTCTTTATTATACACCTACCAAAACTATCAACAGTACAATATTCAACGGATAGTTCAGTAGGTCATCCAATTCAAATTGCTGCACAGAGTATTTCTGATAGGATGAACTATGAACCTACCTAATACTACAAACATTTAACTTCTAAAACAATGCCACATGTCCATGTTATGTACAGATATTGGGCAGTCGTGCGCTCAGCTTCTTACAGACGTTTATTCACCCGAAAAATTGGATTAACCATGGCAATATCTGCATGGATATGGTCGATTTTACTTGTGTCTCCTACAGTACTTGGTTGGGGAGGATTAACGTACGTATTGTTATTCTACGTATTTCACAACTCGAAAAGAAATATTTGTAGCTTAATATTGCATTCGAAATTTTAATTATTCACTCTCTGGACTCTAGCCTAGGTTATGTTATTGTTTGACTGTAGGTTATATTTTTATTGCCGAGTTTATTTTGATGTTCAACCTAAATCAGCATGAACTTGAAATTGAATTTTGCCAGAGAATTTTGAATCTTTTCTTTTAATACAAACAGGTTTGATGCCAAAGCTTTGGTGTGTGGATGGTCGGATACAGCATCACTATCTTATTCAATATTTCTAATATTTGTCGGGGTTCTTTTACCGTTGGGAATAATTGCTTTCTCATATTATAAAATTTTCAGGTAATTTGTTGCAATTTATCGTAAGAATGTACATAAATATTTGTCACAAGTGCTGCATCGTTTTAGAAATCGTACATGTCAAAGATGACTTTGTAATTTATGAACTTGCAGGCCTTGTAATGGGATTGTCTTCCTCCCCATGAGAATCCCATGTGGTGAAATTGCCATTTTTCCCTATGGCAGTATCTAGTATTGTTTTTAGTAACACAGTAATTCCGTTCAATTAAGTGACACCATGCAGCTTCGTTCGGATAATGACATGAAGATGCATTAGGAAACATATCCCTTCTTCAAAATCAAGCAAACATACATTATTTTTATATCTTTTTTATTGCATAGCACCGTTCGAGCGAGTGGCCGATGGACGCGGAACTTGGCATCAAACGGAAATAGTCTTAATTCTGGCGATAGAAAACGACGATCTATGCAGAGAGAGCGTAGTCTAATTTATACACTTGTATCAACTGTGATTGTTTTTTGCGTATGTTGGAGCCCTTATGCAATACACGTTTTAATTGATCCTGAACACATATCACCACACGCCAAGAAGGTAAACAAATAAATTTTCAATTTCATTCTATTGGAAGTGCAAGAGTATGTTTTTAACGCACTTTATATGCCTTCTGTTTATATAATTTCAGCACGTTCTTTAAAAATATTAATTTGAAGAGAGTTGAAAAATTTATTAGGTTTTATTAGGTTTCTACTGCAAGGGCAGAATATCTTCCATGGCATTTTTTGATTAAAATATTAACAAAGGTCATACCTGTTTATAGTGTGCTCTCAATATTCAGAAATCACTTTGACGTAACATTAAATTGGAGTAAAATGCATTGATATTTTCACTGTAAACTTGAAAATGATTTGCTTAAATTTTTAAATTATAAGGGCGAAAGTGATTGCTCAAAAATTTTGAATCGTTCCAAACTTAATTTTGAGGTCTTGTGAAATTAGACTTAGCGAAAATGCCTTCCTAACACGACGAACAGCCACGAGCAACATCGTTTCGACTTAACATTGAGATGCCTTCAAACAAAACCAAAATGTATATCTTTACATAGTCTCAAAAGGTATTTAGAACAAAATCAAGTTTCGAAGTGTAACATATAATACTCGAAGTTGACAGTGTTTCCCGTTTTATTGGTACCAGTTGATTTACGATATAATTACGATGATTGCTACATAAAACACGATCCATCGTTGACTGATCCACCAAAAATTGTACTTTGTATCTGATCATGTATATTTCAGTTTAACATTACATTCATGTGTGCTGCTGAATTCGGAAATGATATCTGATTTGATTGAATGTTCAATTCATAATAAACCAGGCCCAACAAGAGAATGTGATTCGTCATGTGATTAGGTCGTCTTATCCTTCTGAACGATAACAATACCATATCCTATCGTAAATGAAGGTCAAGTGCGTTGGATTTTAAAACTTAACGGCACATGGCCAAAACCATAGAAATCGAATTAACTCATTATTTTCGCATTATAGAAAAATTTCTGTCAAGATCACATACCACCTACTACCAATCACATACAAGTCAAATTTATGCATCTAACAAGTGTACCGGAATACAAATCCCCGCAGGAAATTGTATGGACCGGGTATAATAGGCAGATATCGAAAACAAACATCCGATGTCTTTCCATGATTCAATTTTAAATTTTCGTATTGAAATTTGATCCGGCTATAACCAACGGTGTACCAAAACACCGTTCAGACTTCAGTCGCCCTAATAGTAAATTTTGTTTTGTCATTAGGGAAACTTTATCCAAGAGGTTCGATCAATAAAGTAAGTTCACTGAAAATACTGATATATTGTGACATTATACAAATAGCAACGTAGATTTAGTAAACATGATGTCATTTTTCAATAAGTTCTTTGATCTAAAACATTACTGTTGTTCTAATTAAACTTACATCTCGCGATAAACGATTATTGTAAATGTACGAATTCCGAGACAAAAGAACAGCTTTTGGGCTTCATTGGAACTTGGTCAAAATTTGCTATAAATCGACGGGACGTTTAAAACAAATACCAATCGGCCGCCACTGTGAGTGGAACTAAAACCAAATAATATTTTCTTAAAATTTACTATGTAAATCTTATACTGTAAAATGTGGGTACAAATAGAGTTTGCTTATAAAATGTCTAACTAGACTAGAAGTTTGAAATCAAACACGTTTCTACCAGGAGATTTTAAGAGTATAGCGCGAGTGTTTTTTTACTTGTCAATTTGACAGGTGAATATATTAAATCTTTTTTTTATACATCAATTTATTCCATTTTTATACTAATACGGAAGCAATTTTGTCACACCTCTCAATTTTATATCGAGCCAGATTTAATGATAGAAATAACAATAAAGTTTCATCTTATTAAGACAACAATTATGTCTATTATTATTTACGCACGAGTGTGGGCTAAATCACCACCGCTAAATAAGTATTCTAAACAATTTCGATATTGGCTTTTGTCATATATAAATGATTCGTGGCTTATAAAATGCAATCAAATACTGGGTGTGGTATTACTTCTCACTGATTTTTTTAAGCTAAAAAGTTCAGAGCGTGTACCGGTTGAATAATGGTCAAAGTAAAAGCCACATTTATTGATCGAAGTATCTCTCAAATTCAATTGCTCATTTATTTATTTTCTTTTGTATTTAAGGTGGGATTTGCCGCTGAAAAATTTTTTTGGAACCAAACCGAAAACAAGAATATATCTTTTGATATTCTAAATATGTACATTTCTGAATGTCAAGGAACTTTCTCACAAAGTTATTATATTCAATTTTCAATTAAAATAATTTGCGCGCTCAGTATAAACATTTGCTTGTTGTGTTTGTCAATCATGAATATTAATCGATGATAATTATGCTCTATAATATAGAAATGCTTGCTGATTTTAAACCACTTTTTGGGCTTATTTTGAAATTAACGAAGGAGATGAGATACAATTCACATCACGTATATGCTACTTCTCGTGCGGATTTGTTTATAGGTTTTTTCAATTTAATGATAAATAATTGAGTTAAGAGATTGAGTTCCCCAGAATTTCCCCTCTCAAATGAATACCAACGATCGGAGTGTTGTCTTGGTCCCTTACCGAGTCTGAATCCATTTCTTTTTAAGCGGGAAATAATGAGATGCATATGTTGCATGATATTGTAAAATATTATAATGCCGTTCATATTGCGTGAAGCAACATGCTATACTTAGACACGGAGTGTACCTATGGATTGTTTTGATATTATGTTGTTCTTCTTATTGTTGTTGGTTTACGTGTCCATATATTTTAGCATCGCTTGTCGTTATCATGTTTTATTTTCCTCCCAAGATGTCGTTAGAGATAAATGTTGTTAATGTGTCTTATGCGAGATTAAAGCTATATATGTTCAATATATATATATATTAGAATTACGTAGAAATTACTTGTATATTTCGTTCCAAGTTTGGCTAATTAATATTATACCGAGCGTTAGAAAAGAGCTCAGACAAGTGGTGCTAAATTTTCAACGTTACGGTTTGGAGATTCCAGTCGCCCTTTTCCACCTCTACCTTTATACACATTTAAGATTTTTACTTTTTCTTCTAGCTATTTCTATTTCTGACCACTAATAAATGAGCAACTACGCTTACAAATATCGTGCTAATAAAATCTTCGACAAGTTGCTTTCTTTTGTGTTTGTTTCCACAATTAAAGAAATAGTTTTTCTAACCAAGTAGGACTCGAGTAAACGACCATATTATAAAGAAATGCATAGTAAACGATACCTTTAAACACGATCATTTGACACTAATAGCAACTGATTAATTATAAAAATGAATAATAACGTCGGAGCCAACATTTAAATCCAACTGCAACTGAAATAAGCTATAAAAATGTTATTCTAATCGTGTACTATATTTTTTATTTTTTGTTTCAAGAAAGGCTATAAAAAAGGTGACTATATAACTAATGTTTCCAACTTATGTACAGGTTCTTGTTTGGCTGGCATTAAGTAACTCCAGCGTCAATTTTATTATTTATGGAACTCTAAATCCTGCTTTCAAGAAAAGATATCGTAAATTATTTCAATTTATATTCCGTTGCATCAAGAGAGGAACTTCGTCCAGACGACAAAGTGCGAGGTATAAAAAATAATCATATAATATACAAAAATTATTAAGAATACGATTATTCAATTAAAACTCCTCTTAAATATAACCTGATGTATATATAATAAATTTATCTTAACTCAAGAAAGAAATGATGAATATTTCACATTAATACTTTATGGTTTCCGAATAACTATGCCCTAACGTGCATAGTAAGCTTCCAGGCCCTATTTATCCGTAGTTACTTAGTGTAGCAAACAATTTAGTCTCGCCATGGTTGATTTATGCAACATAGATGCCCTTTTTAGTTGCATTTCTTTTATTCAGTGGCTGTAGTTCTCCAGGGACAGGAGATCGTTCTGGGATTAAAAACGCAGGAAATTCTCCAATCGCGGTAAATGAATCTTTTAATATTCAAACGTTTTCTGTCTCATGATACTTTTATTTAAAAAAGTGACGAATCATGTCTCTCCATTATCTTGACATGCTGTTCCTTCTTTTCAATCAAGCATTAAATCGGAGATGTTAGATAATGTATAAATTCAGTTAATAATATATTTTAATGTCGTCAGTGCGCAAAATCTAGAAAACAGTAACTATTTTTACGCACAGTGACGAATGCGCCTACCAAATTCATAACAATATTTTCGAAATTGTACGTACTCTGACGTAAACATTTTTTATTATATTTTGTCCGACCTTTGTCTAATTTCATGTTAATTACTGTTCCGCTTAATAACACGTGTCGCGGCTCGATAACTACTATTGGCTTATGGACCACCCTGGAATGCCCTTTTTACTTATCGATCTTAAGATCGGTAAGTATATTGATAGGTATTTGTCTGTATGTATGTATGTCTGTCTGTCTGTATGTATGTCTTGTCTGTCTGTTAGATGCACGCGATATCTCACGAAAGCGAGATTGAATCTGCTCCAGATTTTGCATGTGCATTCATCTTATCTCGGACCAGTAGCCTATTGATTTTGGGCGAATTATGTCGTATAATTAGCGAGTTATCAATCAATTATTGATATAGTGATCTAGATTTTTGTAAAGCGAGAGAATTTTGAAACCCGCCGAGTGTGTGTGTGCGATGCTCAGTGCGCAAGTTACAAGAGCGGATGAATCGAAACTGCAGTTTCTGTTTTGGGGGATCCCCTAACTATCGATCGATAAGTCTTCGGTTTCCGACCGATATTCTCGTTTATTTATTATTTTGTTTGTACATGGTGTATCTTCAGTGTGATGGAAAAATAAACTTTTGATAACGGATTAACAATCGATTTACAAGATACACTTTAGAAGATTAAAACGATGTATTTTTTTTTTAATATTAGAATTTTTTTTTTATTATAGCTTCGAGAGCTCAATCGACCATCGGAAAGTCGTGAATATAATTTAATAAGAGCACTCAACAATTCCACGGTAGATTCCCAGACACGGGATGAATTGAAGGTTTTCAAAGGCGTCAGGTTGGCCTAATTGGCAACATTTAGGTGAATAATACTCATGTAGATAGTTCTATCAAAACGAATCAATAAGCTTCAACCCAAATTACAATGTTACAAATTACAATTACGTTACAACTTATAATCAATATTGCTACTTTTAAGCTATTCAATTTTCAACGTATTGTTGTATTATAAATTAGAACTTGACTTTACCCATCTCAATACTTATATTTTTATGTCAATGCAAGTAAGAATCTACTTTGTTGCTCAATAGTTTAACATTATTAATATTTTGCAAGTTGTTTATTTGTACGCATAAATGAATATGTATACTATTTGTTGGGTAATTAAAAAATAGTTGGTTTGAAAAAGTCAATTTTATTTTTAAATTTTTTATCCAGAATATTACAGCAGATGTCGAGTGACCTGGTTCAACGAATTCTACTTACTGCTTGATGATTTTATTTATTTATCTAAATATATCTCAACAGCATATGTTTATTTCGCGGGTACAGAATTACCAATGAAAAGACAATATTTATGACAACACGTTTTGCGTTTGATAAAAAAATACAGGGGCGTGATCTTATAACAGGTTATTTCTCTACTCATTAAGGACAAGCAAAATATACTGAGAGAATTCATATCAACTGTTTTTATATACAAAATAATTTATATATACAAAGTTTATAGTTTACGAATATTAGGTCATTCAAGGCATATTACTAATATTGCAATTTTGTTTACTTTACAGTGCATTAAGAGAGACTTTTTTCCCCAAAAATATGACAGTTGAGAGAAATAAAAAATGAGTGTGCAGGCAGGGACTATTTCGGACCAATCCGTATGCGGATCCGCGTATAAAAAATGCATAAAAAAACTTATTTTTAGCAAGGATGCTTATGAACAAATAAAGACACATCGTCGAACGTTTACAAAAGCTGTTTTTGTGGAAGAAATCAGCAAGTGCAAAAAAACAGAATTCCTCTGTGGAGTTTATAGATTAAACACATGCGACTTACCTACTTTTTACAATGATAAGAAATTTATTTGATGAATATTTAGGTATCGTGATTGTATAAACAAATGAGAAACATCCGAAATACGCTTCTGGCCCGGATTGCTATCATTCTCCATTTAGGTATCTCGGTTCAAAGGTCCGTCATCTGATTGTTTGTCAACGTATGTTGTTTACTTTTCACCTTACGCTGAGAACATATTATGAAACTTCTATGTTACGGGTGTCGAAATTTACATGTAGTGGGCTGATTTCCTTCAAAAAAGCGTCTTTTCCATCTTTGTGAATTTCCATATTCTCGTAGCCTATAGTTTCACTACGCTAACTAAGTAAGTTTTCTAAGAGTGCATATATTAATTAAGTTATCTTTTCGTCGAACGAATAACGTAATAATATAAATGATTGATTTGTAGTGCGTGACAGGTACTTGAGAGTAGGCGATGAATTCGAACACTATCGAATCGACGTTTTGTCGAAATAACTTGTGTTAGTATGGCATAAGTCTGTAGTTGGAGGTAGTATAAATGACCCTTATGTATATCAAAGAAATATAAAATTAAAACAAAGAAAATATGAATCAATCTTATATGTGGGCAAATTCTAGCGATAGCGTCGATATAACAACGGGAACAAGAATAAACTACTGGCCGCAATTTGGAGTCTTGCAAGTTAGTATAATTTCAATTTAAACATATATAAGCATAGTTAAGGTTGAAAATCGTTGGCGAACTGTTGTTGCATATGTATTTTGCTTACGGCTTACTCCCGTAAGTCAGGGTAGCGAGAAAAAAATTTACAATCGACTTCGACTCTAGTTGGAAAATTATAATGCCGACTCCGATTCCAAGGAATACATGCTAAGCCGTGCTGATATATATTCTGGATGAAAGTTCTAGTGCTAGAAATAATCAGCCCAGCCTCAAGAGAGGTAGATTATGTTTGCCGAACAAAAACTTATTAGATCACTTTTAAATTGCTTTTGTATGCCTAATGACAAAGGTTTAAGTTTTAGACTAATATTGCCCTTGCTATAACCTGATTCTGGCACAGCTAGAGAGTATATTCCAGGTTTCAACCCATTCTATTATTTCAATGATTAAACGAGTGTAGGTATACTGGATGTTCAACTTCAGTTGTGAGTTATATCGCGGCATAAAACAGTTTCTCGAGAATAAACACTGCCAAATAGTTAAACTACCATTTCTTATATAAAAGTATGGCTGAATAATTCTAGAAGCCCATACTACACCTAGCTAGAACTATAATTTTGTCGAAAAAAATTATTAGTGTTTCTCAGCTTCACTGTAAGGCCATGTTATAATTTTATCTTTACTGCTTCCCAATACAAGTCGTACTATAATTCAGTCGTGGTTGTAGCGTTTTAATGCGTAAATCATGGTTACCGAAAAGGCCTGCCTGCTAGTAATTTTTGAAGTTACAAAATTACAAAACAAAATTTTTAGGTGACAGTTTGTTTACAATTGCAATTTAAATATATTTTTACATTTAATTTTCCAGTACTTCGAATTTGCTTATATCGTCTCAATAATTGCATTGGGGTCTCTCGGAAATCTTGTCGTCATATTTTCTATTATTCTGGACAAGAAAGTGCATTCTGGCGGGAATATATTTATTATAAATCTAGCAATAGCGGATTTTTTCGTAAGTTACTTCTACATACTCGTATATATTATCAAATGAACATAATTTTTTCGTGAAACCTCAGGTGACAGTTTGTCAGACATGTAAATACTTCTAAACCAAATTAAAATATAGGACGAGTTTTATTATCCATACGATTGCCGTTTCACATAACACACTAAAAAAAATATTTGCAAAATTGTTGTCAAATTTTACTTCATTGTATTTATAAGTCTAAATCTGCATTATGATATTTTACAACTGATTGCAATATGAAGCGGGGGATTGGAAAGCTTGTTTTACGAAATAACTTGGCAACAAATACTGACCTATTTCGTGTAAAAACGTTGTAGCCTATTCTTGACAAAGCTCGATTCTTTTTTTGAATTAGTATTCACAAAAATACCAACTCTCAGCTTTTTGAAACCTACTGTCAAGTTTGTTTCTTCTTATTTTATGTCACAAGATATGCTCAATCACACTACCATGTATAGCTGTCACAATAATAAAGACGAAGCGAGTTGTCGATGATATATTCTGTGAGGTGGTCGGATTTATTGTGACCGCAACTTGTGCTTGTTCACTGTGTAATTTAGCCCTAATCGCTGCTAATAGGTAAGTTAACGCAACGTCACTGTTGTAACAGTACAAAAAGTATGTAATGGTATTTTCTAATTTATCATTGTCGTCGTCAAATATACCAAGCTGATCATTTATAACAAAAAATTAACAATATTTTACCTTTTTTTTTAAATGTCTTCAATATTTTCGAGCTTTTGTTCAATTATAAATTTAATATATTATGAAGTGATAAGATAGTCCATTCTTCTTCATTATTACATGTTTTTAGATACTGGGCTATTGTGAAGTCTTCTTGCTACAGACAAATGTTTTCAAAAAGACTTGGACTTTGTTTGGCAATGTCAGCATGGATATGGTCAATTGCTATTACGATGCCAACAGTACTGGGATGGGGAGATATCGCGTAAGCTTATACGCAATAATAATTTATTTTGAATTCAGCAAGACTTCTGGCGCGTAAAACATTTATTAAACAGCACTCTATTCTATTATTGGAGATGGACAAAATAGGTTTCGAGTGAAATTTGCCAATTGTTCGATTTTTATATTTTTAGGTACGATGCAAAGTCTCTAATATGTGGTTGGCATGATGCAGCATCCCTTTCGTATGCAATTTTCCTAATTGTGATTGCGGTAGTTTTACCTCTTGGAACGATAATCTTCAGTTATTACAATATATTTAGGTAAAGCTAGTGTTTAATTAATATTTACGCGAATTGGAAATCTGTGAAATAAAATGTGTAATATTTACCAGTCAAAATTTCAGGCATAAGACGGTGCTAATAATTATGTAGGAAATGAAATCGGGCAACTACTTTGTTTCAGGTGCACTCTTAACAATAAATGGTTAAAAGTATTAAAAAACACAGTTACTATCCCTATGTACTCCTTACAGTATAAAGTAACACAGTGACCTGTAAATCCTAAAGAGGCAAATAAGCCGTTAAACTATCGCCAAAAACACGTTCAAATAACTACAAACCAGTAAATCATCGCGTAAATTCAAAAACAAAGGTAGAGGTGGTCAGTAATGCTATGGCCACATTCAGGCCGTCACGATAGTTCAGCATCCTAGACTGAATGTGGCGGACTAAAACATATTGTTTTTGCGGGGGTCTATGAAGCATGAAAACATTCATTTTGTGGTGCATTTTGATGGCTTCGATTGACATAACAATCAGAGCCCTCGTGCCTTTTGCATCGCGTCATATATGGGTGTCTTGTTCTGAATCCAATTTCATATTAACTGTGACTGACTTTATCATATTAGGTATGCAAAACCAGATTCATATATTTTTTTTAAATAATGACAGAGAGGTTCGGTCAAGTTTGCAAGACGTGCGAAGTTTGGGAAAAAGAAGTATCTCATCACAGTCAAGTAGATCGAGATCTTTAACTAAGGAGCGAAATCTAGTTTACACGCTCATGACGACTGTGGTTGTATTTTTTGTTTGCTGGACACCATACGCCGCGCACGCTTTGGTTAATCCTTCGAATGTGAAGCCTCATGTTAAAAAGGTAACATACTTCTATAGTTGGAAAACATATTTTAAATTCATTTCCAATGCCATAACATATGTATTCACTCTTGAATGAACTTAATCAGAATTGCCATTGCTGATTCAAGAAATGAAAAATTATAAAACAGGAATTGTAATGAAGACAAATAATTACATAATAAACAAGAAATCATCTACCTTGTTTCTCCAAAAATAAGACAGCGTATTATTTTAATTTTTTTTCAAAAAATAACAGTAGAGCTTATTTTGGGGAATGTTTTTATTTTCATTTAAAGAAATACGAGTTTTTTAAAATATGAAAACCGATATCCTTTTACCTCTAAATAACACGTTTTTATTTATAAATAACTGCTCAATATAGATTATTAATCTTTTAAAGCGAGTAGGAAAGATTTCTTGCTATTGACTAGGTCAAAGTCGACTAGTTTACAAACTCTCTTTTATAGGTGCTCGTATGGTTGGCGCTCAGCAATTCTTGCGTCAATTTTATAATCTACGGAGTCATGAACCAGGCATTCAAGAAGAGATACAAAAAACTATTTAATTTTATATTTCAGTGTGGAAAGCGTGATCTGTCAGCATCTATGCAACTAGGTTATGCTTCTGCAAAGGAAACCAATTCTTAATATAAATCTACACCGTATCGTGCTCAATTTGAACACAATCCCTATTTCACCGTAACAAAGCAATTTCTACATCCACTGGCAGAAATCAAGCATGGCAGCAGTCTATGATGCAATTTTAGCGATATATTCTCATCTCTTAATACTAGGTATAGATTGCCACTGCGTTATAACAGCTGAACAACAGCAACATTTCAAGTTTGTCATCACAAAACCGTTTGATTTTATGCAAATTCCAAGTCCCGCGAGGATGATGATTTATGCGTCCAGTCTCAACATTAATACCAAACTACCAAATGGTTCGAGTCACAACTGTAGCATCAGATCTTTTACAAGACCAACATTGATGAAAGCGATCGCAGAACCCCCGCACGGTGCGCCATTTTTAATTTTGATAACGTTATCACACAAAACGTCAACGTGAAAAACGAATCCCATGGAGTATAACATAAATTTTTGAAATAAATAAAAGTATAATAGCTTTCTAGCAAAAACAACAACCTTCAAACACTGATTTCAAAGCAATTGGTCCAGTAGGTAAAAAGGAAAGCAATAGGTTCACAACAGCAAAAGAAAAGAATACTAATAACAACCACAACAATTCAACAAAATGATCCATCGGTACATTTCGTGTCCAAAAAAAGTTATTGCTTTTTGGCGATCTTCTCCATCTTTGAAAAATTTCAAATTGTTTTTACCCTTAGTTGTGAAGAAAAGCGATTTTTAACTAACAAAAAGACTGACGACAATAACAACGATTTAGCAAAACGAACCACGTCGTATCAAGCAAATTGAAATATTTGTAGCTAAAACACGCTTGTGTACGGGATCCCTATTGCGGTCCAGCATTTAAATATATCCGTTCAAAGGTCTGTCAGCCGATTAATTGTCAATGGTATAGTAAGTTGACTTTTTAACTCGCATTGAAAACATATGGAACTTTTCTGTTGCGGAAGTCAAAATAAATACGTATTTCAAATCTATTCTACATATTAAAGCTGGATAGTTTAGATCCGAATCCATTATATTGAGTGACCCTAAAAAACGGATCCCAGTTTATTTGGAACATATTGTATTGGTTCCGTTTTTGTGGGTCACCCTGGTCTATGTACTTTTATCATGAACAAACAACAAATGGGTCGATTTTTTTTGATTAATATTTATATTATATGCGACTGTCAAAATTAAAATTTTGAAGTATTCGGCAATTTTTCAAGCGTGTGTTTCAATATTCTCGTAATCTACCTCCTTTGCTGCTGTTTCAGGAAATACCAATGTAATTTATTATAAGTTATATTTTCCTCGAACGAATAATTATGATAATACAATATGGTTGAGTTGTGGGGAGTGACAGGTACTTGAAAATAGGTGATGAATTCGAACATAATTGAGTCCATCCTTTGCCAAAATATTTTGTATTTGTTATGCCGACCTGTAGTTTGTTGGGCAGTTGAGATTTCATATATACTTGAAAAAATATCGGAATTTTATAAAATATATATATATAGCATGAATATTTTCAAATATGAGACTACAATGAGATTATATTATATGATACTATCTGATCTGAACTTTGGTAAAATTATAGGCCTTATTATTTGTAACTGAAAAAGCATTGAGGATTGCTAGCCAGAAATAGCGTGATGCTAAATCATTTTTCTTAATACGAGAAAAAGATTGCGTCAGATTATTTTTTAGTATACGGACTTTGGTGACAATGTAGTTCGGCACGAAAAATTTTTTGAGATAATGTAGTTTCGTGAGAATCAAGTTTTGTAGTAACATTCATGTGCGATAATGGAGTTATGTAAAAATGAACTATAGCGTAAATCTAGGTTTTTAAAGAACAGAGTATTTTGCAGAAAAAAATGTTGCATTAAGGTAACTCAAGTCGTAGTTTGTTCGGTTCATTGTGTATAAAATGGTTTATATATTATATTAAAAATATTGGAGACAGTTTCGGATAACGTTTTCGTGACATCGATTCCAATATACCAACCTTAATACGATTTAAGATATATATCAAGTTTTCAAGATTTCAGCAATAATTATGATTTTATCAATTAGTCTAACGGAAAAAATTTATAGAAACAATATACATCAATCCCGTTTGATGGTACGCCGGGATCTCAATATTTAAGAAACCGTATATGCCATACTAAGAAGATACGTTTGTACTTCAATAATGAAACAATCTGGCTGGTGTGACTGCAACTGATCTTAATCCGCTTGAGCAATTTTGGAGATAATTTTCTAACATGATTTGTCTCCCTGGCTTCAGCAACTGAAACTCTCATACTCTTTCCATTTTCTTTTAGGATTCAAGTCCTTGCGTCGTGCAAATTTGGGTACTAATTATGTGTACCAGGTTACGGTTAGGCCATAATTTTATTTTCATTTTTTCCTTTTTTTAGTTTCATTACGAGTTTAGGGATCTTTTTATGTTAGCCAAGTGAATATACCCCCTGCCATAGGCTTCTGTCCCTTACCACAACTTGATGTAAAGTAGGCGAACAAAATTAGTTATCCCCATATTGTACACATACTTCTGGAGCTCCCAAATTTGTATAAAAATAAGGAGTAATTAAATTTTAGAATTACCTAGTATTCATGGAAGACTAAAATATTCACTGCGTGTGATATTTAATAAAATGCGTGGTATTTATATGTTAACTGAATTGTGAATACATCGTTGCAGTATGTCTGCAATTTTAGGTTTGTTCGTTCTTTAATATAATAGTTTCATTTGATGGCTGTACGTGGAGTGTTTTCCACAATTCATGTTAGTTTGTAGTATTTTACAGTAATTGAGAACAAAGTATTTTCTTTTACTTCGAATTTAACTGAATCCCACGACCCCACCCATAGTACTAACACTTGGCTATCTTAAAATGCAGTAGTACTAGGATTTTTCAAAAAACTAATAGATAGTTTTCTAGTTTTGATCTGACGTACAACACTGAATCACGTCATGAAAAATAATTGTAATCTATTATAATCTATATTTTTCCCGCTGAAGTATACAAAAAATTTACTTTATGAAAACAGAAATCTATATTTTACGACGAGTCGTTTTATAGACGTAATTACTCAAAACACGTCAACAATAGAAACAAATTATCGGAAGACGCCAAGTACCAATAAAAAATCTGTTTGTTTGTATGAATAAGGAAGCATTTATGGGCTATGTCATACCTTACGTTTGGTTAGTGTCGATATAGTCGTTGAAATGATCTTTTATATAAGTATAATCGTCTACATGTGCGTATGCAAAGCTCATTTTAAATTTCGAATAAAAGCATTTGAATTTCGGTTGGTTGAAAAGTAGAAAATTAATGAACTTATAGAATGAATACCACAGAAGAGATTTATTGGTCAGAAATTGGAGCTTTGCAGGTAAGATTAATTTTAATGTGTTCCAAATATATATGTATGATCTATTCGCCTATAATATTGTTTTCATGAATAATCAAATTTTATTGCAGTATGAATCTATAGATCAAAGTATGTGAATCATGTGCAGAATTGAATTACAAGAGTTTGCAATAATATTATAAGAAAGTACAAGTGATTAAAATATAAATTCTCGCATTCTTGCATGAATCAATCAGTACATAAAAACTGATCAAAAAGTATCTTGAAGTGAAGTTCAAACTCGCAGTTGCTCATAAATGTGCAAAAACAAATAAATACATGAAGTTGCAAGCGCACCAAAAATATCGTATGAATATTGTTTGACTAGATCATTTATTTCCTATTGACGTACTGAAAACAATTTATAAGATAAGAATTATTGCCAGAAGGTCGATTACACTTAAAAGTAATTAGATAAATAAGTACACATATAGTATGCGACGTGCCATCTGGTTAATTCAAAATGAAATTTCGAGTTTCAAATTAATTGATAGTTTATTGAAAATGAACATTTGAAGAATTTCTTTTTTCAATTGTAAGAATAGCCATATCGATAAGATCGCTGTTTCGGAAATACACTACATTTTCCTCGATAACAAAACAATTTCATGATTGTCGTTCATTTAGGTTTTTCTTACGCGGACTTATTAATCATGTACCCTTTCTAAAGCTCAGTTTGAAAAATCAACCGTTGTTCGGAAATCCGATTTGTGAATGTCTGTTTGGTATTACTGTAGAACAATATTGGCCGTACGTATAGAAAATTCCATCTGTATCAAAAATGCACATCATAAAACAGTTTTGAAATTAAGTGAGGTATAAAATTTGCATTTTGTCTCTTTTTTTAAATTGTAAATACAAATGTATTGCTGTGAATGTGATTAAACAAAACTCTAGCAAAATCATCAACTTGTATATTTTGTGTTTTAGTGCCTTGAAGCTGTATACCTATTCGCAGTGATCATATTTGGAACCTTCGGCAATCTCATCGTTATATTTTCCATTATAATAGACAAGAAAGTACATTCTGGCGGAAATATATTCATAATTAATCTGGCAATTGCTGACTTTTTGGCAAGTATTGGTTATTGAAGTTATTGTTCAATAAATTCAATTTGCTCATATTTATCATAATGTTCGCGTCCACATGACAGTAAGATACCGAGGTTTGGCTCTATGAATAATTAGAAATAGCGAACATGCTTTTGAATACCCACTTCAGCGGACAAATTCAAACAATTTGATTGCTTATCACTCATTCATTCCACCGCAAACGGGTGAACTTTTGTTAAAGAGACTTTGTGCGGTTATCGAATATAACTATTTTGAAATACAGGTATGTTCCGTCATTCTGCCATGCACAGCGGCAACGGTAATAAAAGGAGATAGAACACTAGACGACGTTGTTTGTAAAATAGCCGGATTATTGGCTACGACAACGTGTGCTTGCTCTCTATGTAATTTGACATTGATTGCCGCTAACCGGTTAGTACACAAGCAAATAATTCATTTAACTATACTTTCTTCAGTTCTCACTAGGTACAATATATATACTGTAATAAAACTGGTATCTACAAAACCATCCACTCACCCTAGTCCATTC